GGGCTCTGAAAACAACAGGAATGATGAGTCTGAGGAGGGAGAGGGGGAGAGAGAGACAGAGAAACAGAGACAGAGACAGGGAGTCTGAGGAGATCCTGCTCCAAGGAGGAGCTGGTGTCTTGGAGAGCTCCCATGGCCCCTGCTGGATCCCTCCTCCCTTCCCCATCTCACCCAGCCTCATGTCAGCCCAGCAGGGTGGAGGCTGAGGGCCAGGTCCCAGGCCCTGGGGCTCAGGAGGCTTAAGGAAGGCTGAGCTATTATGCGAATAGTGCTCTGGCTGCCCACATCAGACCTCAGAGAGACCAGGAGGTGGGTGCTGCTCCACAGCCCTCCTCTCACCCTCACATGCTCGCTGCTGCTGCTGCTGCTGCTCTCTCAGCTGGCTCCCATCATTCCTGGAGGAGAAGCCCTGAACCCCATGTAGACCTGAGACTGGGCTCACCCCTCCCAGAAGCCCCAGAGCCTTTGGCAGCTCTTTGGCAGGGGCAAATGCCCCCTGGCAGACAGGCATCAGGAGGAAAGCACAGCTCAGCGGAGCCACGCCAGGGCCTCCTGTGTCTGCACAGACTGGGGCCACCTCCTGGGAGTCACCTGTGAACTTAACGAGCGCACTGCCTCTTACGCCTTCGTCTGAGTCACTGATAAAAATGTCAAATCTCCCGGGGCCATTCAGGGACCCAAGCAGCCCACCTTCCGACCTGATGCTGAACCATTAATGACCGTTCTTAAGGTTGAGCCATTTCATCAGCTTCAAATCCCCCAACCATATTCTTGCTGGCCGGCGTCTTGCCACGTGACCCACAAGCACCTGACGAGAGACTCAGCCACACCTTGTGCTCCAATCTGGGTGAGTTTTATCTACAGTATTCCCTTGAATGAGCAGCCTGTTACTTCGACTAGATACTGGGATGGATCTGCCATCTCATTAATCGATAAGCATTTATTAACTGTCTACTACATATGAAGCAGGACAGCTAGGGGGCGCCACAGTGCACAGAGCACCAGGCCTGGAGTCAGGAAGACTCATCTTCCTGAGTTCAGATCTGGCCTCAGATGCTTACTAGGTGTGTAACCCTGTGTGCCTCGGTTTCCTCATCTGTCAAATGAGCTGGAGAAGGAAACAGCCAACTACTGCAGGCTCTCTGCCAAGAGAACCCCAAACGGGGCAGAAACAAACGAGCCTGCACCAAGCCCTGGAGGCACAAAGGAAAACCCAGCAGTCCCTGCCCTCCCAGGCCTGCACGCTGGCAGGGGACGGGAAATATGCATCCAGTTCTAGACAAAACAAGCAAAACAGATGCCAGGTGAACTCGGGGGAAAGGAGAGGCCTAAGCTATTGGGGGAGGGGTGCGGTGTTGGGAAACCAGGGAGTCTGAGAGGTAGAAGTGAGCAGGGCGTGGAGTGCCTTCCAGACAAGGGGAGCAGCCAGGGCAAAGGCACGGAGGGCAGACATAGAGCATCACATAACACGGAACCACAGAGTGCGTGGAGAAGAGGGGTGTGTCATACGTGACACTGGAAAGCTGGGCCGGGGTCAGGTTGAGCCTGCTTCCACAGCATCCCCCACATCTGCTACCCTCATACGACAGAGCGTCAGCTCCTCCGCATCCCCAGGAGTCAGCACTGGGCAGATGGCACCGAAGAGGATGATTAACAAGTTTGCTGATTAATTGATGCCTGTATTTATCTCATTTATGGCCTCCTAAATTGTTTCCCCATTTCTAATCTCCATCAACCAGTTCTCATAATGGGTAGAACCCTCGAGTCAGGAAGACTTGAATTCAAATCCAGCCTCATGGAATTTCTCACTAGCTGTGTGACCCTGGGGCCAGTCACTGAATCTCTTCCTCATCGGTAAAACGGGACTTAAAATAGTACCTACCGCTTGTGAAAACCAAATGAGATAATCGTGGTAAAGTGCTTTTCAGATCCTTCAGGTACTACATAAATGCTGGCCGTTATTACTATTACCACAGACGATCAGCACTCCAAGGAGCTGCCACAGCATTGCTAAGATCCAGTTCTGACCACGTTACTCCTCTCTGCTCAGATTCTGCAGTACCTCCATACTGCCTGGACATCGACAGCCCTCCACAATCTGGCTCCCATGTACCTGTCCAAAGGCAGTTTATACGACTCCTCCTCCAACCTTCTGTGTTACAGACTGACCTAGCCCATTCACCAAATTGACGCTACACCCCCATCTGTGCTTCGCCCTCGCCCTGTGTACATCCCTTTCTCACTTGCCTCTGGGAATCCCCAGCTTCCTTCAAGATTTAGCTCGTCGACCTCAAAGCCCTCCCATGATGCCCCTCGTTAGCACTTTCTCTCTCCTCAGATTTTCTGTAGTTACTTATCCCTTTCTGGGTTTTATCCTAACCTTCCCTGCTATGAAATGTTAGCTCTCTGAAGGCAGGGATGGTTCCATTCTCATCTTTGAACCCCCTAATGCTCTACATTATCCTCAGAGGGACAGCTAGGGATGATAATATGGTCAGGCAGGGCTGGACGCTGAGTCATCCACTTAGAGGTGACCTGTGAAGCTTTAGGATTCACTGTTCCCTGAACCACTTCCATTTGTGGCCAAAGAGAATCTGGGCTTATCGACTTCATTGGCCCACAGAGCACTGGCCAGCGTCCTTTGGGGCGAAATATCAAAAAAGTTCCCCTTCTAGAAACTCAAGACTTTGTACTGAGGAATGAGACATGCTTTACTCCCTCCTTCCTTCCCAATCATGAGGCTCACTGGCTTCCTTCCTCCCTTGCCCCTTCCCAAAGGTCACTGAAACAATGGCCCAGGATTATTGTTTTACCATCATTACCATCATTAGGAAAAAACATTTGGCATAGTCCAGGCTTGGGGAGTAGATGCCTTTGTCATCCTGTGCACAGTCTTAATGAGCTTAAAGAACCTCTGTTTACCCCAAGGTTAATCCAACTTGTTTAACCTCCTGTGGGATGGGCCCACACCGCCTCGGTCCCGTCTGAGTCTCCTATACTGGCTCCTCCTTTACTCCTTGAGATAAAGGGCTTGCTTTTTAAAAAAAAAATTTTTAGGCAATTGGGGTTAAGTTACTTGCCCAGGATCACACAGCTAGTACGTGACAAGTGTTTGGTCTGAGGCTACATCTGAACTCAGGTCCTCCCGACTTCAGGGCCGGTGCTCTATCCACTGCGCCACCTAGCTGCCCCTAAAGGCTTGCTTTTTTAAAAAATGAGGTTAAATAACCCTAAAATAAAGCTGAAACTAGCTAAGTTTTTTGTAAGAAATTATAGAGGAGCTGCCACCCAAGGCCACCTTCTCAGGCTCTGGCGTCTGACATTTTTCTTAACATGTTTTCTTTCACTCTTTAGTTACACAACAAGACTGATTCCAGCAGGGAGAGTAGATAGAGAAGAGGGCCCAGGGTGGAACATCTAGAAACACCCATGTTGAAGATGTGGGGAGACAGACCAGGAGCCGGAGGAAGAAGGAAATGAAGCAGATAAAGACGTGGCAGGAGAACTGGTAAAGTGAGAACAAACGGTGACTTTAGGGATAGAGAACCTGAGTTCAAATCCCATTTAATGACGATAAGAGCAGCTAGTACAATGTTGTTGTTCATCCTTCATTTTCTAAGAGAACTAATGAACTTGTCCTCATATTTCCACCACCATTTTTCTTCTGCCCTGAAGAGAGACTACGATCAGCAACAGGAGCTTAGACACAGAAGCAGAAAAGACCATGAGCTCACTTAGCACAGCCTCCTCATTGTACAATAAGGAGGCCGAGGCCCAGAGAGATCATGGAGCTTGCCCCTGGTCATACAGGCAGGAAGCAAAAACGGAGATTTGAACCCACATCCTCCCAGGAATGGATGGAGTCTTCCTAAAGGAAAACAAAAGCATCTTGATGGAAGTGAGAGGCAGCCAACCATTTAATGGAGATTAAAACGATAATCGATAGTTCCCTTCCCTTCACCCCTCTCTCAACCCCTAGTCATGAGGCAGTCGGATGTTCCTTTGTCCTGCCTCAAACCCACAGGGTAGCCAGGCCCCACAGGGCAGCCAGGTGGAAAAGCAACATGGCTACTCACGAGGCCTGGACGAGCCGAGTCACCGATGACAGTCTTGCTGGTGAGATGGGAGGGCCACCAGGCAGGCCTCGCCATCTGGGCTGCCGCTGCATGCTAAGGTTCTTGGGGCCGCCCCATCCGCCCTCCAGACCCCTGAGCACTGCCATCTGACCTGATTGATGCATCCTAAGTGTACCTGGCTTTGCCGTTTGACCTGATGGTGCACCCTATGACCACTGGGCCTTTTCTTCCATCTTATAGCTGAATCTTCCAACACGTACAGTCCCCTCTTAGAATAAGAGCTCTGGGAGGGCAGGGGCTCGCTTTGCTTCCTAACCCCAGCAGTCAGCACCATGCCTGGCACAACGTAAATGCACATAAATGCTTTTTCATTCAAAATCATTTGCCATAGCTTCAGGAATTCAATCTATTGCAGCAAAGACAAGAAAGAGAAGTTAAGGGAGCAAGCATAGACAGAGACATTAAAATAGCTCTATTTGCAGAAAATATGATGGTATATATTTAGAAAACCCAAGAGACTGAACAAAAAAAAATGCATTAAGATGACAACTAGCTTCATCAAGACAGCAGGGTGTAAGATAAGCCAAAAATTCATCAGCGTTTCTAGAAACCACTAACGAAAGCTGCAACAAACTGTCAGAAAGATGAATACCACTCAAATTAATTTATAAATTTAATATAACACCAATCCAGATACCAACAGGCACTCTTACAGAAATAAAGTGACAACAAAATTTATGTGGAAAACACATAAGCAGATGAGGACATTAAGAAGCACTGGGGAGCGGGAAGGAAGAGAAAAAGCCTTGCCCTAAGAGATCTCACCTCCCTCTACAAAGTTGTCATCGTGAAAACTATCTGTGTCTAAAGCCAGAAAAATATATATGGGGAGCAGAAGAGACATTCCAAAAAGAGAATAAAAAGTTTCCAGCAGAGGAGTATTTAATAAATCTTAGATGACAAAACATTGTGCACAGAACTCATTATTCAGTAATATTTGTGAAAATTGGCCAGCTGTGAAATGATAACTGGGATTAGATCCCCATCTGATGCTATGGATACTAGAACACTTCCAAGTAGATCAGTGGTACAAATATATAAAACAAGAAAAACATGATAAAAATTATTACGAGACAAAATGACACATCTATCATATTTGTGGAGACAAAGGAAACTCTGATCCATTCAGCAAACCATAAATCACTACAGAAAAAATGGTGAATTTGATTATATAAAATTAAAGAGATTTTGACATTGAAAATGTAAAACGAATGGGCATAAATTTACCAAAGATCCCATTTCTTAGAGGAAACAAAAAAAATGCCATGTTCAAACTCCCCATTATGCAAACAAATGTAAATGAAAACAACCCTAACACACCACCAATTAAACAAAATACAGTTATCCTTTCCACATCGCAACTTTCCCCATTGCAGTTTCAATATATTATGAGTTGGCATAAGAAAGTAAATGGGAATTTTGTGGGAGTTTTACAGAAGCCACAGATGACATGCAAAGGCCAGCAGATGACGCACATAAAAGTTTAGAAAATCAGAAATGTATAAAATATATGTACAATATTGTATAATACCAACATATTTTATCTTTTAATACCATACTAATTCGGACATCTTCTCTAGTATGAAGCAAGGGCCAAAAAATTCTAGGTGGATTTTCCAGTGCCCCTAAACCCTTGCGATGTGAAGGGATAACTGATACGGAATGTTAAAATCCAATGTTAGTGAAGCTGTGGAGAAACAGGTCACTGTGACACAATCAGAACAGAGCAAAGCCCACAAAGCTATTTGACATGGGTCTGTACCCCAAAGATGCTAGAAAGGAAATAGAGAAATCCATGGACTTGAGGACAATCACTTTCTTTGCAGTAGCAAAAGGCCAGAAATGACTCACGTTCCCAGTGGCTGGTTCAGAGGAGAATAGCCCCAACTATCCAAGTACTAACAACAGAGACTGACTTCCCAAGTGTCGCTTCACGGCGACACCAAGCCCACTGGCCTTTTCTCCATCCCCATCCTTCTTGCCTTCTCTGCAGCCTCTGCCACCGTTGACCTCTTCTCAGTATGTCAGCATTTCTCCTGGACAGTTCTTCCTCCCTGGGTTTTCCCAACATTGCTCTCTCCCAGTTCTCTTTTCTGCATCATCACACTCCTCCCATCCCTGAATGGACGTATCCCAGGTTTGATAGGGGTGATATCCTTAGGTCTTACTCCATGCAAGCTAGGTTGGTTTTTCCTTAAAAGGTACTGATACCAACTTTGTAACCTAACTGTAACCTCAGGTTCAGGTCATGGACACAGCTTCCTGGTGGCTCAGGTACAAGAAAGCCAGGAAAAGGCAATTCCTCTCACAGTCTTCTGACCAGCAGACCAGAATAGGTAACACTGAGGAAGAAGTTACACTAAATGAATCAATGTTGCATCTTTACTAAATAGCCATTCCACGCTACAGCTGAGTAAACTTCTTTTGGGTCATTGATGGATAAACTACCAGAGTCTCATTTCATTCCAGTCTAGAAGCTGAACTATCAGACTGTCATGAGTGAGCCCTGGCCTACTACCTGGACCATGGCCATAGCTTCCTAACTGATCTCTCTTCCTCTAGGCACTGAGTACTCCAATACATCCTCCAAAGTTGCCAAATCAATCTTCTTCAGACATAGGTCTGACCATGTTGCTCCCCTGTTCAAAAGCTCCCATGGCTCCCTCTGGCCTCCAGGATGAAATATAAACTATTTGGCCTTTTCAAGTTCTTCCTAACCTGGCTGGTCTCTCAAACTTGGTTTGCCTCACTCCCCTTCAAACACTTCACATCGCCCAGAGTGACCTGCTTGCTGTTCCCAGCTAGGCTATCGCATCTCTCCTCTCTACACCTTTGCACAGACTGTCTCCCATTCCTAGAGTGTACTGCTGCCTCTCCCCTGTCCCACAGGATCCAGAGCTCCCTTCAAAGCCCAGCTCCAGTGCTACCTCTTATAGGAAGCCCATCTAAAAACTTGCCCTTTCTTGTAAGTAATTGTGTGTGTGTGTGTGTGTGTGTGTGTGTGTGTGTGTGTGTGTCTGTGTCTGTGTGTTACCTCCTTCCTGCCCCTAAACAAATGTAAAGTCTTCCAGGGAAGGCAATGCTTTATTTTTGTCTTTGTATTTCCCAGTGCTTGGCAGTGTCTGGAACATAATTGGTGCTTAATAAATGCTTGTGGAATGAATTTATGGACAAAAGGAGATACAGGAAGGCATGCAAGAGCACAGGCAGATTGAAGAGAGAAGACTCGGGCTGCTTAGAAAGTCTAACCCACCTGGTTTTCACTTGCTAGCCTGGACAGGTGCTTCTGGGGCCATCTCCCTCTGGTATCCCAGGTATCTCCTCTCACACCAAGTGGGAGATCACGTGTGACTTGGAAACCACAAGTCCTGTACGTTGGAAATGAAAAGGTGCTGGGGTCAGAGAAACACCTCAAAACTCAACCCTAGTCCTTCCCTCTCTTCTGGGAAGGCCCAACGGGTCGTATGAAGGACCCCTGGAAGGCTGCTCTGCGCTCTGATCCTAGGAAGTAAGGAAAATGGATCACAGCCCAGGTTGGAGGTTTACATAGAAAATTGGTTCATATGCCCCAGGCCCTGCTGAGGGGAGGGGCACTTTCCACAGCTTCAGGCAACTGCCCTGGGACTTTAGGAGAAAATATCTGACCTGAGGGAACACAGAGTGTGATAACACTGAGACAACACAATCATATGTCCACCTTAAATTTATACAACCCCAAAGCTCACCAGGCCATAGGGCGAAATATCCTGTCACGTGGCCACTCAAGGATTAAGATTCACTCCTCTCTACAGGCCAGACAGTGACCACTAAACACTGGAGAGAGCCCATGGTGTTTCCTAAGGAAGGAAGCAAAGACGTTCCAGTTCGGGGGCCCAGGGCCAGCTGTGCTTCCCTAGGCAGACCAGGTCCCTGTGGTTCTACAGCAGCACATCCCTGTTCAGCAACTTCTGAGAAGGGCATGGCTACCCTCGTTCCCCTAGGTGAGCTTCTCAGCCATGTCCTCAACTGTCACCAACTCCTAAAAAACCAGGTCTCTTTGGGCATATCTTATGGCCACTCCTCCCTCACACAGAGCTGGCAAGACAGCTGAAGTAGACAGGGATGGTAGAGAGGGGGTCTCACAGTTTCTGGCCTTGTCAAGACCCTGATGCTTGTGCCTGAATCTGAACTCGATTTCTAAACAGAGCAGCAAAGCAGGAATGGAGGTGGCTTGTCCCACCACTGGACTCTGGGTCTCCCCGACGAGTTTCATGCTTGTCTCTGTATTCCCAGCACCTCCCCCTCCCCCTCTTCATCATCATCACAATGACAATTATAACAACAGCTGGTGTTTCTATACATAATGCTTTAAGGTTTACAAAGTACTTCACAAATAGTATCTCCTTTGGTCCTCAACCTGGGAGGTAAGGGCCATTATCATCCCCATTTTACAGATGAGGAAACTGAGGCTGAGTGAGGTTGTGATTTCCAAAGTGTTAGAGCCACTGAGTCCAGATCTGAACTCAGATCTTCTCGACTTCTAGTGCTTAGCACAGTGTGTGGCACACAGTAGGCACTTAATAAATGCTAGTTGACTGAATGGGTCCACTGCTCCATCCACTCTGCCACCTAGCTGCCACTAGGACGTGCTTAATCAATTTTTTTCCCTGACCTTGAGCCTCAGTTTGCATCTTTGTCACTTCCCCCATTGCCACCCAGGACATATCTCATCCCCCGTCCACGTAAACAGGTCTTCAGATCCTTGAAGACAGATCTCATGCTCCCACGCCCCAGCCCGAGTCTCTTCGTAGGCTGGTTCCTTCCCAGCTCCTTCACACAGGTTGCCCTTCTTGGACTTTGCTCTCATCGAACTTTCCTAAAAAGTAGCCCTCAGCAGTAAACAGTGACCTTGAGATCTCACCCAACCAATGGAGATGGTGGCACTGTGGACATCATTTCCCCCATTCCAGGCACATCTTCCACGTCCTGTACTTGGGAAACTGCTTGTTTGGACCCGAGCACAGAACTTTACAATTATTCATATTAAGTCTGTTCAAGTCAACAATACTTACAGCACCCTACTGCGCACTGGGTTGAAAAATACAGCAACAGCCTCTGCCCTGAGCCTGATATTGTACTAGGAAGAAGGGAAGGAATGAGGAAAGCCCCACTAGATCAAGAAAGACAAAATAATCTAAGGAGGAAGAGAGCCCTAAGAACTGCAGGCTGAATACTATTTTCACTTTTTTTTTTTATAGTTTTTTTCCCTTTTGTTCTGTTTCTTCTTTTACAACATGACTAATATGGAAATATTTTACATGACTACACATATATAACCTGTATCAAGTTGTTTTCTCTCTCAGGAAGGAGGGAGGGAGAAAATTTGGACCTTAAAATTTTACTAAAAATTAATGTTAAAAACTGCCTTTACATGTAATTGGAGTAAATAAGATACCCTTTAAAAGAAGAAGAAAAAAAAACTTCAGGCTGAGGTTAAAAGGCTTTACCTGGGGTGGGGGGGAGAGCTGATCTGGCAGGTTTGTTGTGTAGATTGGAGAAGGAAGAGGCTGGAAGCAGGGAATCCCATTAGCAGATCATTTCAACAGCCCTCACTTTTACATGGCAGGTGACACAGATGGCCTCTAAGGCTGTGACTTGGAAAACAACGGTCCCTTCAATAGAAATAAGGACATCTGGAGGACTGGGGATAAATAATAAAATAAGCCTATCCAGATCCCCCCTCTCTAGTGCCCTTCCCCTCAAAATTACATGTTATACCATCTTTCCTTTTGTGTTTCAATGCTGTCTCCCCCAAATGAATGAAAGCTCCCTGAGGGCAGAATTGGTTCCCTTTTATATCTGCATCCCCAGAGCCTGGCAAATAACAGGCCTCCAGTGTTTGTTGGGTGAATGGAGAACAAGGTGATGACGTATGTAAAGGGAGTTTTCCCACTGAGAGATCTGGACCATGCATGTTATAATTCTTTAAATGGCAATGAATACTGAAGGGGGGGAGGGGGGAGTGGTGAGAGAGGCAGGCATCAATGGCACCTTGCTCCTTCCCCAGCATCAGAGTCAAGGTAGGCAAACAACAGCCACTCTTCTGATTGGGCTACATATATCGCCCCACCCCCACACCGTTCAATGAGTGCATGCCAGCCGAAGAGAGTCATAGAAATGGACCTATACCTGGGTGGGAGTATGCAGGCCAGAAAGAGGCTGAAAAACATGATAGTTAAGAGGAACTCACGTACCCACAGGACTCCACCTCACCGTCCAGCAGGGACAGTATGATCTCTGCTAAGATCTGAAGGAGGAAGGGGAGATGTGCTACATAATAATAGTTAGCGTTTCTATTGCACTGATTTTATAGATGGGGAAACTGAGGCAAACAGAAGCTAAGTGACTTGGCCATCATCACACAATTAGTAACTGAGGCAGAATTTGAATTCCGTCTTCCTGACGCCAAGCTTCTGTTCTAGCTAAGTGTATACAAAGTAAATTCAAAGTAATGGGGGGGGGAGTTGGAGAGAGAGCAGTCATACCTGGGGGACCTGAAAACATCTCACAGGACCAAAGATTAGGCTATCCACCTAAGAGGTGATGGACTAAATGTGCACTGTGAGACACACATTTTTGGTCAACATGAGTATCTGTAACAAGGGTTTTCCTTTCTCTTTTTTTTTCCCAGTTGGAGAAGAGGTAGGAGAGAGAGAAAAGAAAAAAACCCATAAATTCCTAGTCATTGAAAAAATCGATTCACAAAACAATAGAATGAAGTGGCCTCATGCAGCGGAAATGAGGCTTTCAGGTAACAAGACCTCTACCAAGGAGGAGGAGAGGAAAGATCTTGCTCCAAGCAATAGAAGGAGGGCACGAAATTTTGCAGTAACTTTCAGAATGCATCCTCTGTAGATGCCATGAACAATGACATAAGCACGAAGTAGGGAAAGGGAGAGGAGGGAATTAGCATTTGTATAGCGTTTATCCTCTGTGCCAGGCACTGTGCTAAGCACTTAAAAAAATCTCATTTTAGCCTGACAGCACCCCTGAAAGACAGGTACTATTAGGAGCTCCCTTTTATTATTCCCATTTTACAGCTGAGGAAACTGAGGCAGAGGCTAAGTGACTTGCCCAGGGTCACACAGCGAGTGTGGCCTCAAAGCTGAACTCAGATCTCCCCAACCCCAAGCCCAGTGCTCTCGCCACTGCACCACCAGACGCCCCTGTACAAGTCGTGGCTGCAGGTAACCTGTCATTTGTTCTCCAAGAGGACCATGACATCAGGCAGATGACACGACTTGCAACTGACTTTGATCTGAGGGAGGCAGCGCTGTGCAAGGTCACCAGCCTCACTCGCTCCTCCAAAGCCATCCGGGTCCAGCGGCCAGATCCAGATCAGGATGACTGGAGATGGCCCAGGATGCAGTGGGAGACCCCGGACATTTGAAGCAAGGTCTTTTCAGGTTCTCACTTTGAGTGAGGCAACGCCCATTCGGTGAACAGGCCTCTTTAAGAAGTGAGTTAAGGGATGGCTTTTAATTAATAGATAGATAGACAGACAGACAGACAGATAGATAGATAGATAAATAAGTAAATATGGGGAGGGGAAGATCCTTAGGGTTGCTGGGCAAAAAAGAAACAGTTACTATTTACATTCACTCTGTGTGGGATGGTGACCACCCAAATCAAGAGTTTGGAGTCTGAATCAGAGATCAGAAAAGGTCTTTATTCTTTCTCATGAGAAAGGGCACAGCCTCTATCGCTCAAGCAGTGGCCTGCTGGCTGTGAAAAGCAAAGTTTTATAGTCCTAACGTGCCCCCTCCCACTCTCTTACCTCTTTCCCCCACTGGCTGGGTACTCAAGGCGGACAATCTAAACGTGGCAACTAATACCCAACAGAAGCAAACATACCCATATTTGGGAGCTTAGATGCATGCATGTACCAGGAAGCAAAAGTGACCAGGAGTAGCCTGTGCTGACATGGATTTGGAGGAAGGGAAGCTTAAGTCAGGGCTTTCTAGAAGAATGAAACTTAGGCCTGAGGAAACTGCACTTCAGGCCATCTCTCACAACTGTGAGCCAGAAGGGCCCCAAAAGTAACCATTAAGTGGTGCTTGGGCAGGGACTTATTGCTGTCCAATTCATGAGATCCAGACTGAATAAGGTTTAAGACTCGGTCTTTGAGAAAGAAATCTAACCAGTAAACCCCAAAGTAACTAGGCAGCTTTTGGCCATCAAAAGTTACCTTCCTTTGGGCAGAACACCCTCAGGTAACGGAGAGGACAGGAGAGGAGAGGGGAGGGGAGGGGACTAATCAGTCAATTTCAAGTCACATCATCAATTCCCCGATGTCACGGTCCTCTTCAAGAACAAAAGTCAAACCACAGCCTGTAAGCAGTCCAAGCTGCCTGAATGGAGACCCAGCTGGCCACTTCCAGTTGGAAAACTCAGCTCGTCCTCCTCTCCCCTCTCCCTTACCTGAGGGTGTTCTGCCCAAAGGAAGGTAACTACGGCCAAGCACAAAGTACAAGCTGACCTCCTTTCTAAGGATGAAGGTAAAAGAATGGAGCTCTACTATCCGTAATCAGAGACAACTACTGGGGACGAGTACTTCAGGTGGAAACGGAATGCAGCCAAGGGAGGGAGGGGAATTCTAGTCCGTGTCAGCAGGTTGTGGCTTGGGGGAGCAAGAAGCACCACCAAATGGCTGGGGCAGACAGGTGGGAAGCTTTAGCCATCCGACACAAATCGTGCGACGTGGTCTATAACAGGCCAGAGTTTACAGGCAGGCTGCGGTGGCGGTTCTGGTCCAAGACTGGGACAAAAGGAGAGCCCGGAAGGTCATCAACAGTTAACAATAGATTTACTTAGCCACAGGAAGGGAAGAGCATTCAGAGCAGGGGAAAATTATTCTTCAAGGTTACAGCTTTGGGCACAGGTCTCCTCTGTGGGTGTAGTCAGAATCCTGGGGGAAGACTGATAGCTCCAAGTGTCCTGGACGGTTTTTGCACAAAGGTGACTTCAAAGTTCTATCAACAGCCAAAGCCTTAGTCCTCTGAGAGAACTGAATTGAGGGCGGTGTCAATAACTTGGAAGGAAGAGCTGGCCTAATCTGCCTGGGACAGTCTTCGGATACTGTTCTCACCACATGCCCACGTCACTCTTGTACAATGTTTTTATTGTTTCTGTGGTTTGGTCTTTGACCTGCTCAATACTTGTCATTAAGTTCCATTTAAGTCTATACCCTTTGTTCATATTTTAACTTGTCAGTTATAATTTTTAATTGTGTCATGATCTGAGACAAACATGGATAGAGAGACAGTCTTAGAGTTAAGACCTGGATTCAAGTCCTACATCTGACACACTAGCTGAGTGACTCTGAGCAAATGTTAAATTCTGCCTCAAGCCACTACAAACTACAGCTGAGTTCCCAATCTGCTTTAGTGGAGGGAGTTTACACACTAAGGAATTCTCTGAGGAAATCACAAGTCCAAATAAGAAAGATTTAAAAAGTATTTAACATTTCTACTTTTGATTGAGTTCTTTATGCATTAGAACATGAACAATTTTTTGCCTTATCAGAAGTGATGATTGCAACTCCCGCTGTTTACAATTCATTTGAGGCAAACCAGATTTAAGCATTATTTGTATATATAAATCTCTGTTTTAGTTGTTATTTTTAAGCAATATAGTGTTGTCTTCTTATGTATCCTGCAACTTGCTTCATTTTTCAGGTTGAATTCAGACCATTACCATTCACAGTTTTAACTGGTGGTTTTCCACCCATAAAATCCTGTTGCATTATTGTTGGGAAAAATCAACACAACACTAACACACAGCCTACAATGACAGTGATAATTCAATCTTAACCTCGTGAACGAGCACAAAGATACTCACCTTCATTACACAGAGTATGAGGATTCAACTTTTAACTGTTATCTTTTAAAAATCCATGCTTTTTGGTGTAGGGGACAGAAGACCAGCCTTGGAGGACTTGGCTTCCACTCTTGCCTCTGATACATACTGGTTGTGCAAACATGAGCAAGTCAGCTATGCATTCAGCATCCCAAGCAACTCTCTAAGATTACTATTACAAAAGAACTACCACTGCATGAGCAAGAGTTTCAACAGGCATCTCCTACACCCATACAGCAAAAAGCACTCTGCTGAAAGGTGACAGGGGAACCTGAGATTTGTTCCTCCTTAACCAAGGTTACTGGAGGTCAGGGAATAATGTAGATGAACCCTAGATTTATCTAAGTATGTGCCTGGTCCACTTAGCTCCTGCTAGCAGCAGTGAGGAATAAGCTTGCAACATAAACCATACATAAAATTTCTTCCTTTAAAATACAGCACTTCACATTCAGTATTCTCTACCATTCTACCATTCTTTCGTCCACATGCACGGCTCCTCCCTCACCCCTTCCAAAGGTAACTCAATGATGCAGGATACCCTGCTTCCACCATTTCTCATTATTAGAATAGCTCTGGCACACACCTGCATATTCTGGGATTTGCCCCAGTCTACTTTTAACAATACAACTTCTGCTATTCTAGTCAGGAGTACCATACTTGTGAATAGTTTCCTCAGTTCAGGCACTGATCATCCTAACTGCTCCCTACTTTTGTGACCAGTTGGACTCCCGGGGAAAAGAACCCTGCCTGTTGATAACCATTGAGTCTGGTCTGAAGTTTCACTTCAAGGACTACCAGTCCATTATCTGTATTTTCTGAGATAAAATACTTCTGACAGAAATTTTAGAATGGCAAAACTTGGAGAAAACAACAAAATACACCCACTTTCCTCCCCTTGGTAGAGAGGGGGAGGGGTTGCAGGTGAAGAACGTTGAACACACTCTCAGAAGCGTTCATTTTTGCTCGTCCTTTGTTATGAGGGTTCGATGTGTGGTGTGTGTAGAGAAATTAGTGCAAAAAGGACATCACTAAAACAAACTCTGTGTGTGCATGGCTGAGGTTGGGAAGGTTTGGGTTATGACTCTATGAGATCACTCAGCTGCTGTCCAAGCCCCTTTCCTGATTTCTTCCTCAATCCTGGCCCCTTAGACAAGTATATACCTTGGTTACCTTAACTATGGGAGAGTCTCAACAGAAAGTATGGAATACGAGAGCCAGATGCCGGAACTTGGGAAACTTTTACCTCAAGGGAATGGGGAACTGAATGAATGAAACAGCATTTATTAAATGCCAAGTGCCATACTATGCACTGGGAAGATAACTCAGAAAACAAGAGACACTGCCCTCAACAAGCTTACATTCCAGTGGGATACTGAGAAAGCACATATAGTGGGGCAGTGGCCACAAAGGGGCACCTTGGTTACAGCAGAGCTCAATGGTGCCAGAGGGGAGCACACTGGCCCTTGGAGGCCAGAACAATGCCAGAGCAGATTCGATCATGGTTCCAGAACTGGTAGAGAGGATTCATGTTGGGGGCAGGAAGGAGGAGTCTGGAAAGAAAGGAGGGAAGCAGAGGAAAAGAAAGGGAGAAAATGAGAAACAGATCTACTTCTCCACTCAGCTCAGAAGATGGAAGCAGCATCTCCACGTGCCCATTGACCTTGCAAGTAAACAAGGAAGAGGGGAAGTCACTGAGTTCTTGCTCCCTCAGCAGACAGCAGGGAGTAGACATGAAATAAGGCCAAAGAGAAAAACTACAGCAGCCCTACCTATTGCTTTTAGTCAAACTAGGTCACACACTTCTAGCCACCTGCTCTAATGCTAAGGCCCAAAGCTGTAACTCAATGCCACACCTCCCTCTCTGCATTTGCAACCTCCTGCTGGTAGCTCTGCCAGGAGGTAACACAAGTGAAAGCACAGCCTGACACAGAAGTCAGCCTCTATCAGTCCAGTCCCCGGGATCTCTCGGGGACACCCAGCCACACACATCCCAACATTCCTATGCCGGCAGGAGACAAGTGGGAGAGGGGTGAACTATTCTACTGCTTCCTCCCATTCAAACAGCTAGAAATAATCAATTGTTAACCAAGGAAGGCAGAGCTAGGACATCCTGCAATGAGACAAAAACATGTCTATTAGCAGCTGACAAGGAGCCAGTGGAAAGACTGAAGATGCTTCAGAGGGAATTATTTCTAGAATAAGGTCTAGAACATGAGGGAGAAATTTAAGCAAGGGCATAGGCAAAGAAGCCTTACCAAAGAGAAGGGGCTGTGTGGTACCATGGGCTGTCAGAGGACCTGGAGTTGAAACCTCTTACCACTTATTATGTGACCTTGAAAAAGTCATATAACCTTCTGGGCCCGTGTCCTCAATCTTATAAAAAGAGAGGGCTGAATCATGTGATTCCTGTGATCCCTTCCTACCTATATTTAGGAATCTAAAACAGCTTTCTATGTGATAAAAAGGGGGAAAAAAAACAGACAGTGATTCTGAATTTATAGAGAAATTGAGAGAGAATTTGTGGGATTTACCAAAATTTTTAAGAAAATAGCTTGCCACCTGAAATAAACATGGGAATGGAGAAGAGAAGTGCTTGAGGACTTGAGCAGACAAAACCACTATAGAACAACCACTATGGAAAATTTGAGATCTCTCTCTGAGGTTTCCTTTTCCTTAGCGCTCTACTAATTTTAGCTAAGTGTGTGCAATGCTTAAAATCTGACATCCATGATCTTCAGAAGATTTTACATTATTAAGGCTTCTCTCCAGTATTACATGATGTCAAATTCCTACATTCCTTATACATTCAAAAGATTTCTAGTGTAAACAAAAAACTATACTCCTAAGAGAAGGCTTTCCCCATCCCGTTCATTATTCATCAAACTCTCAAGTGTGAACTTTCTGGTGTTTAGTAAGATGTGACCTCTGGCTAAAAGACTTTTCACATTTATTACATTCATAAGGCTTCTCTCCATTGTGAACCCTCTGATGTCTAGTAAGGTGAGTCCTCCGAATGAAGGATTTCCCGCATTCATTACATTCATAAGGTTTTTCTCCTGTGTGAACTCTCTGATGCACAGTAAGAGCTGTGTTCAAGCAGAAAGCCTTCCCACATTCATTACATTCATAAGGTTTCTCACCAGTGTGAACTCTCTGGTGTAGGTGAAGACCTGAGCTCTGGCAAAAAGCCTTCCCACATTGACTACACTGATAAGGTTTCTCTCCGTGTGAATTCTCCGGTGTAGATTGAGAGCTGAGCTCTGACAAAAAGCCTTCCCACATTCACCACACTGATAAGGTTTCTCTCCAGTGTGAACTCTCTGGTGCACACTAAGATGTGTCTTTCGGAGGAAAGACTTGCCACATTCTACACACACATAAGGTTTTTCTCCAGAATGAATCTGCTGGTGTCGGTTAAGTTCTTTTTTCTCGAAGAAGGCTTTCCTACATTCTGTGCATTCATAAGGTTTCTCTCCAGTGTGAATTCTCTGGTGTCTAACAAGTTCCTTTATCTGAAAGAACGCCCTCCTACATTGTGTGCATTGATGAGGTCTGTCTCCCTTGTGGATTCGCTGATGTTGGGTAAGGTGTGTGTTCCTGTTAAAGGCCTTCCCACATTCTTTACACAGGTAAGGCTTCTCTCCAGTGTGAACGCGTTGATGCTGAGTAAGGTCTGTCCTCCGGTAGAAAGCCTTCCCACACTCATTACATTCATAAGGTTTCTCTCCAGTGTGAATCCTTTGATGTCGAGTGAGTTCTTTTTTCTGAAAGAAGGCCTTCCCACATTCATTACACTGAAAAGGTTTCTCTCCAGTGTGAACTCTCAGGTGTCGAGTAAGATATGTTCTCCAAGTAAAAGACTTCCCACATTCCTTACATTCATAAGGCTTCTCTCCAGAATGAACTCTCTGATGCCCAATTAGAACTGTACTGTGTCGAAACATCTTGCCACACTGATTACATGTATAAGGTTTATCTCCAGTATGAACATTCTGATGTTGAGTAAGGTCTCTCTTCTGAAAGAAAGCCTTCCCACATTCATTACACTCATAAGGTTTCTCTCCTGTATGAATCTTTTGATGTCGAGTAAGTTCTTTGGTCTGGCAGAAAGCCTTACCACATTCATTACACTGATAAGGTTTCTCTGTAATATGAATGCTCTGATGGCGTGTAAGATTTGTCCTCCGGCTAAAGAATTTCCCACATTCACTACATCCATAAGGTTTCTCTCCAGTATGAATTCTCCTATGCTGAGTTAGATGCGTCTTCCGGCTGAAGGCCTTGCCACATTCACTACATCCGTGAGATTTTTCCTCACTGCTCTGTTTCCTCTCTAACTGGGAACCACATTCCCAGGTTTGTCTCAACTCGGAGGCACAAGTACCATCCCTTACGAGGTTTTCCTGGAATAACTCATCCAAAGAAATGTCCAGCTTTGGGACTGACTGTTTGATTTCAGGCCTTCTCTCCCAGCCTGAAAGAGAGAAAAGTGTAAATATTCCATTTCTTCCTGCATTACACTTGGTCCTATCTTCTACGTCCTCCATCAGTAAAGACCACCAAACAATAAAATACACAATATATGATGCAGCATTATTTTTGTGTATCATGAAAAGCTTTTACACTGATGCTTAAACCAACACTCACAGGAAAGTCAAAGACAGAAAGGACATTTCATCATTTCTCAAAATAAGCACACCAGCATTGTTCTGACGGAAGACAATCAGTAGGTTCTACCGGGGAATGGCTGAAGTACATTCCTATAAAAGGATCTGACTTCATGTAAAAGATGACAAACATGAAGAATTCAGAGAAGTATGTGAACCGTTTGAGCAGGTCTGCACAACTTACAGCCCTCAGGCCGCTTGCAGCACACCAAAAGATGCCACGCACCCTGAAAAATGTAGAAGAAAACATCCCTTGTCTGCAGAGGAAATCCTGTAAGTGCCCCAAGGGCCATAAGCACAAGCTGTGCAGGCCTGTGTTAGAGGGAGTAAGGAGAACAAAACACACAGTAACTACAAAAATGCAACCTAACGTGCAATTTGAATGGCCAACGACAGCCCCAGAGAAGAGCTGAGCACATGCACCTCCCTCCCTGTACTGAAGAGGTGGGAGATTCCAGGTGTGGAATAGTATATACATATATGATACCAAAGGGTAAGAATGTTAGTTGTGAACTGCTCTTTTTCCTTTTTGTTTTCATCTTATAAGGGAAAGCTTGTTTGGTAGAGAAGTGGGAAGAGGTTTATTCAGAAACAAATATGAAGTAAAAATAAAATGGATCAATAAAAATAAGACGATTGTTTTCCTTGAAGGATGTAATGGAGAGGAGGTCTTTTTTTAGTTAGAAAACTCATAAACATACATTTATTCAGGAAATACAATTATTAAAGAGTTGGCTACTTGTCAGACATGTTGTGGTGAGGTCTCCTCTCCCACATGCATTAGAATAGATGGCTGCTGAAGTCCCTGCCAACTCTGAAATTCTGTGAGTAGCAGAGCAAGCAGAAGAGGGAGACTAATGCTTGTCAAAAGGGCTCGCTACTACTGTGGGGGAGACCCAGAGCAAAGACCAAGCTGAGGAGGGATTTTCTATAAACAGTGAAACACTCTAGATGCTCATTTTTTCACATGTGCTCATGTCATCAAGTCCCAGAATACTAGAGAGACTCCTGGATAAGATCCTTAATCATTTCAGAGTTTGGCCTACCTACCCATGCAGGGCAGACCAGGTGGATGAAGAACGCCTATCATCCACACCCTAACACGCAGTTAGATGGACGAGCTACAGATGTTATCCAACAATACAGCTTTAAAGCTTAAAACTACAGTAAGTCTTTTGGGACCTTACATATTTATTCATATCTTGGAGGGATGGACACAGCAAAAGGATATTAAGTTGGGCCAATAACTGAAAAGGAGAAAAGGCTGAAAAGACTTTGGGAAACGAAAAATTCTCTTAATGTCCTCAAACTTCTCCCTGAAACAAAGGTTCATATCTTAGATTCAAATATTCTCACAGTGTTGTTGATGGCACATACAAGAAGAATAATTTCACATGTAAAATATGTAAAGTCAATATCTCAAAGACCTATTATTTCATTAAGTGTGGAAACTACTTTCCTCCACCAATACTGGCTGCAACCCATCTATAATTTAAGAATATTGGTTGCCTAAGGCTGAGAAAGAAAAATTGATAAGGCCCACAGTCACATAGTTAGTAACTGTCAGGGGTCAGATATATGGTATTATTAAATGCATAAGGAAATATTAAAAATTTACAAGAACTGCCAGTCTACAATGGATAAATGGTCAAAGAATATGAACAGAAAATTTCAAAAGGGGAAAGACAAACTTAAAAGTCAACTGAAAAACTGCTCGACTTTACTTTTAATCAGAGGCACGAATTAGAACAACTCTGAGGATCCTTATGCCCAATATATTGGCAGAGAAAATTAGAAGCAACAAAACTCAATGCCAGGGTTGTAGAAACTGGTACACTCATTCATTTATGGTAGAATTTAAAACTTGTAGAAATTGTAAGGTGAGTACTCTGGCAATATGCAGTGAAAGTGACAAAATAATAAGTGTTCGGTATATAACTTGTTTTTTTGAGCTAGCTACATAAAGATTCTCATGACTGCAGGGATGGAGGAGATGCAGCATCAGGAATTTCCTATCAAATGATATCACTGAACTGGAACAAAACCAACACAAAGTGTTGGGAACTGAAAGAAATGTCCAAGTAGGGAATGGTTAAGTAATGTCGGGCAAATTGTTACCATAAATGCTAGTCCACACTCCTTAAGCTGACTGGTTGGAGAACACAAAGAGATGTGGACGAGCCTTTATGAAATAATGCAAAGCAAGAGAGATGCAACAGGGACTCCTGGTAGTACAAACGCACAATGGATACACAACAGGAAAACAGCGAGAAGGAACGGGGCTCTAGGAAGGCTCTCCGGCCGGAGGTCAGCTCTTCCCCACATTCCTGGGGAGGGAATCACGGGCAATTTCCTGGATCCACATTTTAAACGTGCTTCCTGTTAACAACCGGTCGTGATGTTGTACGTTATGGTCACTCACTCACTTACCTGGACAGGTGCTTCTTAAGACATCTCCCTCTGGCATCCACAGTTTCCCTCCTCGTTCTAACTGATCTATCACATCTGGTTTGGAAATGACGAGTCCTATTTATTGGAAACAGAAAAGTGCCGGGTTCAGATAACTATCTCAGAATTCAATCCAGCCCAACAAACATTTATTAAGCACCTCCTATGTCCTTTCTCTCTCTCTTGGGAAAAGTGAGCATGCCAGGAAGGCCCACAGGGTACGACAAAGGATTGCTGGAAGATGCTCCCTTCCTGTTACCTGGAAGCATGGGGAAGGAGGTCACAGACCAGATTTGTATCATGCTAACAGAACACACATCGTTCATGTCTTCAGAGAACTCCCCGGGGGAGAAACTTTGACCTGAGGGAACAGAGTAAAGGGAGGTACAACCTCAAGGGTCATACAACCAACCACTTGATGGCTGTATAAAACAAAGGCCTCTTCCCTGGCAACAGGCGAAAACCCTGGCGTTTGGCCAAAAGGATTAATAACTGTTAGGCAAGATGTGAAGTAAAGGACACTCCAGAAAGCCCAGAACATGTACTAAGGAAGAAAGCAAAGCCCTTCCAACAGGCAGATTCGGAGGCAGAGGGGACACCGCGCTTACCCAGGCAGACCAGGTTCCTGTAGTTCTCCAGCATCACGTCCCTGTACAGCTCCTTCTGGGCAGGGCGCAGGTGTCCCCACTCCTCCGGGGTGAAGACCACAGCCACATCTCTGAACGTTAACAATTCCTGAAACATTGGACACATTTGTGGGTCCTCAAGGACTATCCTAGGGAAGAAAGATGTGGTTGTCCAGGAACTGATAGGAGAGGTTCTCAATGTGCAAACTTCAATGTGTTCCAAGTCAAATACTTACTGAGCACCTACGATGTACCTAAGTTTGAACTAGACTGTCAATCACGCGTCATTTATTCACTTGCTCATTCAGTAAGCATTCTGAATGCTGGTCTGGCCTGAGTGCCAGGCACGGGGCTACACACTGGGGATGTAAAGACAGAAACAAGTCAAAAGCTGTCTGCAAGCAGCCTCATCATCCTGGAGGAGAAGGGGATGCCTGCACCCTAAATACTGACAGAAATGAAAACTCAAAAAACTCAGTAATTTCAGAGGGGAAAGCACGAGTACCTGGCAAATCTGCAGAGGAAGCTACATGCACGTGGAGGAGGGAAAGCCTGAACTGAGTCTTGAAGAAAGAGTGTAAGAGGTGGAGATGATGAGGAAGGGCATTACACTCTGGAATTCTTGCGGGAACATTCTGGTTGGAACACAGACCATCAAAGGAAGCTATGCAGAAGCAGCATCAAAGCTGCTAGTAGAGAGATTGTACTTTGTGGATTACAAAGTCCTTTCTTCACAACAGCCTCACCAAACACGGGCATGGGCGCTCATCATCCCAACGAGCAGCTGAGAGGCCCTCTAGCCTAACCTGACCAAAATCCTCTCCTGGGACTTCTTCAAGATACGGTCCTCCAGTCCCTGGCTGAGCGGGTGCTTGGAGAGGACTGCCAACACCTCCCAAGTGCCCACTGAACTTCTGGAGGGCCCTGTCAGGATGTTTATCTTGATTTTAACCAACTGACATCTTTCACCTGCCTCTCCACAGCTTCCTGCCAACGTTCTTAGCCTCTCACTCTGCAGCCCGGGAGAACAAGGTTCATCCTTCCATGTGACAGCCCTTCACATAGGGGACCAGCTGTTCGCCTATCATGCCCTCCACCAAAGGCTTCTCTATCTTTCCTAAAACAGAACACCCTCAAACAAAGGTTCTTAGCCGTGTTTTGTGTCCTGGACCTCTCCTACTTTGAATCATCTACAGTGAAGCCTATGGACCTCTATTTTCAAAATGTTTTAAATACATAAAGAAAAATACATAAGACTACAAAGGAGACCAAGTGTATTGAAACAGTTATCAAAATATATTTTTAGCTGACCTTTTTTTTTTTTGGCTAAGCAATGGGGTTAAGTGACTTGCCCAGGGTCACACAGCTAGTAAGTGTCATGTGTCTGAGGCCAGATTTGAACTCAGGTCCTCCTGCCTCCAAGGCCAGTGCACTATCCACTACGCCACTTAGCTGCCCCCAAAATATATTTTGAAAAAAATCACAGACCCCAGGTTAAGGACCCCTGCCCTAAAACACAGTTGATCAGAATGAAAAAATATCTTAGATGTGACATGACCAAGACAAAGCATAAACACACGACCTTTGCCATTCTAGACACTACGTCTCTTAGTACCAGAATTAGCTTTTATTTGACCATGTCACATCGCTGACTTTTACTAAATCAAAGTCAATCATTCAATGCGCATTTATTAAGCACCTCGTATGAGCCAGGCACTATGCTAACCACTGGGGAAATGAAGAGAAGCAAAATACAATCCATGACCTTGAAAAGCTCACGATCGATTAGGAGAGAAAACATGAAAACAACTGTGTACAACCAAGATATAAAGTGTGTCTGTGGAGAGATATACCCATACATGCATATATATGTGTGTATACATATATATGTGCGTGTGTGTGTGTGTGTCTACACACACACACATATACATGCATAGATGGATCTAGGAAGAATAAATAGGAAATAATTAATAGAGGGAAGGTACTTGAATACGGCCGACTGGGAAAGGGTCTCCAGTAGAAGGTAGGAATTTAGTTGGGACTTAAAGGAAATGAGGGAACCTAGTGGCAGAGTTGAGGGACAGCGTTCCAGGCATGGGGACAGTGAGAGAAAACGCCAGGAACAAAGCGATGGTAGTTGAAATAAACGTTTACTGACTGACTGATGAAATCTTGGCTTAAAAAGGACCCAAGTCCTTTCACACTTGCATGTGCCTCCCAAGATTTAAAACTCCTCCATAACAGAGGCTCCCTTTTCCCTTCGGATCCCTGCCCCGGCACCGAGCCTGGCTCACGGTAGGGGCAGAACACTGGCTACGCATGGACTGACTCGTCCTGTCCAAATCCACGTAAACGATGCCGCGAAGGCCCCGGGGTCCCGTACGCAGTCAATTCCTCCCAGGACACCAGGGAATGACGTTCCAAGGAGGCTCCTCCCACTCACCTGGCGGGCGCTGGCTGTCAGGAGTCCAGAGGCCATTTCTGCCTCCTCAGAGCTCCCAGCAGCCGGGGAGGGGCGACAGCGCTGGGGATGAGAAGGGGACAGAGAGGAACTTCGATGCCCCTCGGTTCTGAGACCCAACCCATCTCTGCGGCTCCCCCCGCATCGAGTCCAGAGGGGACTCTGGGGGGGCGTCACTCGGGCTTCGGAGAGAGGGGCTCTGGGGTCCAAGGGGGCCATGGGGAAGGGGCTGGGGGGCCCAGAGAGGAGGGGGGAGATGCAGGGTCCGGGAAGGCGGGGCCCCGGGGCAGGAGCCAAAGGGGAGGTGAGGTCCCAAGGGGGAGGGGCTCCAGGGTCTAGGCGGCAGGAATCAGGAGCTGCTGACGTGAAGGGGACACGGGCTGGGGGCCGTTCCCAGGGCGCTGGAGCTCCCCTCGAGGATCTTACATGCTTCCACACCACGGGCGGCGTCTTCGGGGGCCGCCCCCTTTGGGGTAACCCTCTCTGGGGCTCCCACAGCAAGATCCGAAGCAAGTGCACAGCTCAAGAGTGGCAACTTCCGGTTCCGGTAAAAAGCGCGCGAAGGGAATCACGTGGGACGCGAAGTCCTGCCCCGCAAGGCCTTTTGGGAAGCGTAGTTCGGGCTCCAGGAGTGACTCTTACGCATGCTCCGCAGCCACCCGCCTCGGCCCAGGCGACAAATCCGCTTCAACAAAATAAGCCGATCACGTCAGGGGCAGAGGATCTGGGGAGCGAGAGGGGACCGGGCAGCCTGGACATCCCCCGCATCCTCGCGACTCAGAAAGATGGGGATGCATTGTCCAGAGGGGCTCTCTAGGGCCCTAAGCCAGGATGGGCAGGGGCTCTGTGGAGCATGCGCGGAACCTGCCCCTGGCCTCTGAACAGTTTCACAGCTCTAGCGCCCATTGGCCAGGATGCGGGGGCGGGTCTCATCTGTGACCCAATCAGAGGTGAGGCTGCTGCCCAGCCCATCTCCCAGCCTTGTCTTCCCTGGTCTTCTGGGTCCTGATCTCCCTCTTCTGAATGCCAGGGTCTTACCCCACCCCCCCACCCCCATCCCGGGCTCACAGTGACATGTCCGGCAGAGGCAGGGTTTGAACCCAGCCAGTAGTCTTGACTTTTGTCTTCCTGATGTACTGAAGCAACAGTGGGATTGGGCAGCCCCGGGGTGTCTGAGCAGCCTTTTAAGGACCACACTACACTGTTCACCTCCTGGTGTGAGAAAGAGGCTAGAAAAGTTGTCTCTAAACTGTCTGCTTCACCCAACCCTGGCTGCTTACCTCGGCAAGTGAGTCTCCTACCCTGTGGTCGAAACACACACAAAAACATGCAAAGACGATTCCATTCACCATTGGCACATGGAATGTGTGCACACTTACAGATCACACAAAATCCGGCAGACCTGAAAGACAAACAGCTCTTGTTGCAAGAGAACTCGGCAGGTATCACATCCAAAGAGCAGCCCTGAGTGAAACAAGGCCGGCAAATGAAGGCCAGCTTACCGAAGTTGGAGCTGGGTACATGTTTTTCTGGCGGGGCCATGGTGATGGGGAGTGCTGTGAAGCTGGCAAGATTTGCAGTCAAAACTAATCTAGTCAACAAGCTTGTATGCCTCCCAAAAGGAATGAATGACAGGCTCATGATAATGTGATTGCTGCTTGCAGGAAAGCTCCATACCACCATCTTCATGAAGTGCCTATACTCTCACTATGATGAACCCTGATGAGGTTGAAGAAAAATTTTATGGAGACCTGGAGACCCTCCTCATCAATGTGCTTAAAGAGGACATTCTTATGATTCTGGGTGACTTTAATGCTAGAAGAGGCTCAGACTATCAGACGCGGCAGGGAGTCCTTGGAAGGAAGGAGTTGGAAACAAATAGTCACTTACTAATGAAGACGTGCATCTCGTGACCATCTCATCACCAGCACTGTCATCCCTAAATGCGATAAAACTGTGTGGAGGCACCCTTTTGGCTTTTCATAGACTATGTCATTGTAAGGAGAAGAGACAGGATGTGAGATTGAGTAAGGTAATGTGTGGCACAGAGTGCTAGACCAATCATAGACTTATCCTCCCCAAGCTGAACCTCCGCATTCAACAGAAGTGGTGGCTCCACAGAAAGACAACTACCAGAAGACTGAATGTTAGCAGATTAGAATGCTTCTCCAGGTGAGAACACTTTGTTGCCTTCTTGGAGGGAAAACTGAGCCGACACACAGTCGGCAACAGCAGATTAGAAAAGAGTGGGCGGCTTTTGGAGAATTGGTATACAAAAGAAATGTGAGATGCACGAGTTTAGAGGCATCTCTATTCCAAACGTTCATACAGACTATTTGTGCCTGACTTGTGGAAAAGCCTTCTGAGTTCATATTGACCTGGTCAGCTACAGTCAGACAGACCCTGGAAATGTCCCATAGCTCAAGGATATGACGTCTGGGAGGCACCTGCACCCTTGTGGGGGAGAGGCAAAGAAGGATCTCTGGGCAAAGGATCACAAAAAAGGGGAACAGACCCAAGCCCAACTTTGTTCAGATCAAACACTAGGTATATTCCCAGGCCTAAGTGAAATGTACTATCCTGAGGGAGTTAAAATGGCTTCCAGACTAGATCCACTTCCATGACAACCCACCCCCTGATTGATAGGCAGGTCACAGAATCCTTCAGACCGGCATGATCTGTGGCCAGACAAATGATGGGGTTTAATAAATGACTGACATACTTCTAGGGCTGTGTCCCAAAGAGATCATAAAAATGGGAAAGGACGTACATGTACAGAATTATTTATAGCAGCTCTTTCTGTGGTGGCAAAGAATTGGAAATGGAGGGGATGCCCATCAATTGGGGAATGGCTGAACAAGTTGTAGTATATGAATGTAATGGAATACTATTGAGCTATAAGAAATATGAGCAGACAGACTTCAGAAAAACCTGGAAAGACTTGTATGGACTGATGCTCAGTGAAGTGAGCAGAGCTAGGAGAATGTTGTACACAGTAATGGCCATGTTGTGTGATGACTGACTTTGACAGACAGCCCTTCTCAGCAATGCAAGGATCTAAGACATCTCCAAAAGTCTCAAGATAGAAAATGCTATCCACATCCAGAAAAAGAACTATGGAGTCTGAGTGCAGATCAAAGCATACTTTATACTATTTTTTTCTCCTGTTTTGTTTTGTTTCCTCTTTCCGGTGGTTCCTCCTATTGGTTCTAATTCTTCCTTGCAACATGACTAATGTGAAAATATGTTTAATAGGAATGTATATGTAGAGCCTATATCATACTGTGCGCCATCTTGGGGAGGGCGGAGGAGGAGGGGAGAAAAATTTAAAACTCAAAAGTGTATGGAAGTGATTGTTGAAAACTCAAAATAAATTTATGTAAAAGTAAATAAATAAATACACACAATCTGAGAGTGGTGGTCCATGCCTGTACTCTCTGCTGCCAGGAAGTCTGGGGTTGAAGGATCTCTTGAGCTTGGGAATTCTGAGAGAGGGTGAGCTAAGCAGCTGAGTTTGAAACTAATATAGTGAGGCCCTGGGGTTGTGGTCAGAGCGGGAAGGAGCAGCCTAACCCGAGTGGAAACGGAGCAGGTCAGAGCTCCCCTGCTGTTCAGAACGAACAGCCCCCAGGAGAGAGAGGGAGACCCAGTCTTAAACACAAACATACACACACACACACACACACATTTCAGTATAACAACAGATAGCATTTATGCAGTGCTTTAAGATTCGCAAAGGATGTATTATACTGTTTGAGCCTCACCATAAAATAGCTCTGAGGGGTAGGTGTTATTATTATCCCCATTTTACAGATAAGGAAACTGAGGCAGATAGAAGTGGTGACTTGCCCAGAGTCACACAACTACTATGTGTCCGAGGCTGGATTTGAACTCAGGTTTTTCTGACTCCAGGCCCAGCACTCATAGGCTTATACAAGAAACTAAGTGTCTGTTACATATAGTTTGAGTAAACATTATATTTAATAAAGTAACAAATTGAGTTATTTTGTGTCCCATTTGGCTTTTTCCTTCCTTCCTTCCTTCTTTCTTTTTTCACTAGTCCGCTTAGCTCCAACTAGTAGCTATGGTGAGAAAGCCTGAAGCATAAAGCGGATCTCAGCTTCTCCTGGGAGACGTGGCTGCCCTCCCACCTCCTCCCCTCCCTCTCAAGGTTCTAGGCATGGTTCCTCCCTCTCCCCTTCCCAATGTCCTTCAAACAAGGCTCTGGGATGAAGAGACAAGCTCTCGGATCTTGCCTTAGCAGATACCCGTACACCCAGGCCAGATTAAAGGATACCAACTCCTCTTTGTCCTGGTCAGCCACAAGGCATGGGGGCACGGTGCCCTCAGGTCAGGCCTGGACTGGCCTTATTGCTCCCTGGCAGTGACATGGCTTTGGGGGTTTCTGCCTGCCAAGGTCCAGTACAGCTAGCTTGAGACTCCACCTCAAGGCTTCCTATCCTGTCATCGCCTCCACTGCCTGTAAAATACTTCTGAAAAATGGTGGGGCCACACACACCAGAAACTAAGCTGAAGAGTGACGGATGACTTTGTCCGAAAAACAAACACAGAAGCCCACTTTCCTTCCCATAGAAGACAGAGGGGGCTGCGGGTACAGAACGTTGAATGCTCTATCAGAAAGTCAGTCTTCTGTAGCTGTTGGGGTAGTGAGGTTCAGTACATTGGGAGTGTATATTTGGAAATGACTGGTGTAAGAATGAAGGCATCAGGAAAAGGTAAATGTGGTTGTATGTATGGCTAAAGCTACTCAGCTTATTGTTATAACTATAAATGAGGCCACACAGCTGCTGGTCCTGTGTGTAAATGGTCACTATCATCTTCATCACCCTCAGATAAACCTCACTTATATCTGAAACGGACAAAAGAAAGTTTGAGGGGCAGCTAGGTGGCACAGTGGACAGAGCATTGGCCCTGGATTCAGGAGGACCTGAGTTCAAATCCAGCCTCAGACACATAACACCTACCAGCTGTGTGACCCTGGACAAGTCACTTAACCCCATTGCCTAGCCAAAAAAAAAAAAGTTTGGAAGGAATCACAGGCAAGCTGGGTAGTTCTGAGAAACTTGTAGGACTTATTATGTACTTTTTTTTTAAAAGCAAGTATTGTGTAATAAAAATTTGTGGTTTCTATGTGTATGAAAATGCTCTTTTTTAGTTTTTATGTTCAAAATTAAAAATAAGATTAATATGTGTGTATAACATATACACACATAAATACAGTATAAAAATAGGATAGCCAATTAGAATGGGCCAACAGAAAATAACAACGCCACAAAATAGTCCATAAGCATTTATTAATCACCTACTAAGTGCAAGGCCCTGTGCTAAGCACGGGATACAAAGAAAGGCAAAAGACAGTCCCTGCCCTCAAGGAGTTCCCAGTCCAATGGAGGAGACAAGATGCCAACAAGCACACAACAACAGTCGGCTCTAGACAGGACAGATGGAAACTAACAGAGCAAAGGCACTAGAATTAAAACGGGGCAGGGGGAAGACTCCCTGTGGAAGGGGGGATTTTAGCTGGCATTTGAAGGAAGCCAGGAGGGGGAGATGAGGAGACAGAACGTTCCAGGCATGGGGGACAGTCAGTGAAAATGCAAGAAATATTAAAATAAAATGTAAAAAATTAAAAAAGCCAGAAGAATATGGAAGGTGTGTGTTATTTTAAAAAT